GATCCCTCCTCATTCCTTCCTGATCAATTCTGCCTGCCTCTCTGGACGTCAGGGTTGGTCAATGCCCAAACTCATTATAATAACTTTCAATTCCTTATTTGGGCAGATTACTTAACTTCACTGTATCTTAATGTTTTCATTTGTAAGGTGAGAGTAGTTGGGTTGGTTATAAATATTAAATTAGTCATTACACAGAAGAGCTGGGAATAGCAAGTGGCACCTACAATTCGTAATTGCGAATTACTATAATCTGCCCTGTTTCCTTCCACAACTGTCCCAAACCACAGACTTCTGTCTCTTTCCTGTCTCCCAGATCCCATGTCCAGCCAACTTCACCAGACTGGACTTGAGTTCCTATATTGTATCCTCGGAATATCTACTACATCCTAAGAGACAAGTAATATAACTTGCCCAGAAACTACCAAACCATTGTAGAAAAGTTAGAACATGTCAACAATGTAAGGCTTCTTTCCTTGCACTCCCTAAAATGAGTCTATCCTGGAATTCTGAAAAAAATAGTTGCAGCAGTAGCATCATGTTTGAAAGTCTGTAAATTCCCCATGAAAACAGGAGCATTGGGGATAGTAGAACCAGAGCTTGATGGACAATGTGGACAACAAAAGTAGGTGGCAAGGTATCCTCACGAATTCCAAAATATGAGCTGACAGTTTTACAACCATATTTTGCCACAATCTTTGCAGTAGGAAGCAGAGAGAAGCAATGAGGTGTCTGATGGAAAGGAGACCAGGATGCCACCTAAATTACTAATAAATATTTATGAGAGATTGATTTCAGGCAATTTTATCATAGTTAAGACTGAGAGATGTGCTTTTATACAATCTAATTTTGAAGTCAGTGAAAAGTCTTCTTTCTCATGTTTGAGGGTCTGAACATTGTGGCCTGTGAATTCTTAAAACTCACAAGTGGAAGCTTCTTCTCAGGAGAAAGCTGAAGGAATAAAGCCCAAATTGAGGAGGTAGGGGCAATGGGGACAAAAGAAATAGAAGTTCTAGATAAAAATAGAAGAAAGATGAACAGAGCTAGGAGATCTCAAAAAATAAAGACAATTTTTTCTGCTCTTCCAAAAGTAAAAAACAGGAGATCCACACTTGTGAAGTTAGAAATGGTCTCCTGTGTAAACATTTCCTGTCAGGGACAGCTCAAAAAAACCCCCCTTAAACATCCCCACTGGGTAGTAAAGGAATCAGCTTTGGTGGAAAAAACCTCCTTAACTTTCTGCCAGCACTCAGTGTCTAAAATGATTCACAGAATAGATAGGCTTCCAGCCAGCAAGTACCCCAGTGTGTTCTCCTGAAACAAGGAGATTCAACACTAATCGTACATTCATCTGAGGAACTTTAACCTGTATTCTTGTCCTACTTCAGATCATTTGGATAAGGATCTATGAGGGTGAGGCCAATCAGAATATTTCAAAAGCTTTCCAAGTGAGTCTACTTGGCAGCCCATATTGGAACTGCTAAAAAAAGAAGTTATTTCAAAGGCAAAAGTCATTGTAATGTTACCATTTAACATCAAGATACTCTATACCTTCCTTCAACATGGTAGCTGCCAAACTTTGCTGCATATTAAAATTACCTAAGGAAATTAAAAAAAAACTCTGATGATCAGGTTATACCTTCTACCAATTAAATGGGAGTGTCTGGACATGGGAACAAGGCCTTGGAATAGTTTCAAGATGCCAGGTGATTCAGAGAGAGAGAGAGAGAGAGAGAGAGGAGAGGGGAGGGGAGGGGAAAGAATCCCCTGATAAAATCCTTCTTTTTAAAAGTCTGGAGAATTGGCAGCATGCAAAAAAATATTGAAAGGATAATAAGAATAAAGGTAGAGAGGAAACATATAAACTAAAATTTCAAAACAAGGTAGAAGAAATTTTATAATGATAAAATATAGAAGACTATAAATCAAATTGAAAAAAGACTATCTGAAATGAGAGCAGGAAATAATTTAAAAAATAAAGAACAAAACAGTTTAGAGATGAAGGCTAAACTTGAAGACCATATGAGTCAATAATTTCAGTATAAAATGCCATAGACATTTTAGAGGGGGGAAGGGACATTTTTCAAAATGAAAAATAAGACACAACCCTCAACATAAAGTGATGTATATGAAAGATAAGCAATAAAGTCCAAGATAATAGGGTTTTCTAATGAGAAATAGCAAAACAATAAAACAAAATTAACATAATAACTATAACAAAAGGAAACTTTCTTGAAAATAAAAGTGAAACCACATGTTAAAAAGGAATACCACAGACCTGAAGTGTGATCCAGAATGAACAATATTAAGATATATTGTGGTAACTCTGTTGGACTTTTAACGAAAAGGAAAAAAAGTCAGATTGGCATTCAGGCAGATAGACATTTGTAAGGATATAAGGGTAAGAAAACCAGATTATCATCAGGCTTCTCAAAAATAACTATGCTGGTGGTAGATAGAATAACATTTTAAAGATACTTTTACTCAAGGGGACATTGTGAGCCAAGAATTTCAAATCTACCAAATTGGCTTTTAAGTATGAAGACCACAGATATATTTTAGCAATGTATGCAAAAGCTCAGAATATTATTCCTAGTAAATGGAATCATTTACCCATTTGCTTACGTCAAAACCTTAGAATGCTTCTTGATGTCTTTTTTCCCCTCTCATAGGTCATATTCAATTTAACTGCAAGTCCTACTTGGCTCTTCCTTAAGAACCATGTCAAACTTGACCTCTTTGACCTACTATTTTGAGTAACCATCACCTCTCACTGGCGTGACTGCAGTAGCCCCTTACTTAAGTCCCTGCTTTTACTCTTGCCTCCATCTAACCATTCTCCACACAGAGGCCAGAACAAGCAACTGATATGTCACCCTCATGCTCAAAAACCTTTCTTTTTTGTATTATTTGGTCTTGGGTACCTCTCTAATCTTCCCCTCCCTGGCTATATCATTCACCTGTCATTTCAGTCATTTTCTCAGCTGCAGGGAGCATCCATTTGCTTTTCCCCCAGTCCAGAATGCTCTTCCATAGGTGGAAATATGATTGCTCTCTGGCTTCAAAAAGGTGTCTTTACAAGTAACATTTCCTTAAAGTGGCTTTTCCTGGACCCCTGTCTAAAATAGTACCCCTGCCATTACTTTCTCTACACTTACTGTACTTTACATTTCTTTTTAGGATTCCTTGATCTTCTGCCATTACAAATGTGTTTGTATATTGTACTTCTGCCTTCTAAAATGTATGCTCCATGATGGAAGGGACTGTGTTCACTCTGTTCACTCTGAGATATTTATTCCTCTGTTATTGTATTATATTATTCTATACTTTTTATGATGATAAGTAATAATAATTTTATTGTTTTTCAAGAAGTGTGCCTTTTATGAAAAGTTAATAAGTCTGATGCAATGGATTTAAAAATAATTCAGTTTATATGTTGCATATTGATCAGATCATTGAAAACATAGGCAGACCAATCCACTACATCTGTCAATTGCTAGCTTCCCCAATCCTATGCAGCTACAGGTTCTGAAAAATCTTTAGCCTTAGTCTATTGGCTCAGTTTCCTCCAGCACCTGAACCAACCTAAATCAGATTGAGAGAACCCACCATTATGGGACTTGTATATGATTTTGCTGCTGGAAGCTTATACCCTTTCCCTCTAAGGTTCACAGTATGCTCTCTGCTTTCTTATGGGTTGCTGCTCAGATTTCTTGATGAAAGCATTTGTAATGCTGCTCTAAATCCCAACCCGCAGGAACAGGGTTTGGGCACCCTGCTCCGCTTTTTCCAACCCCAGTCAAGTGTGAATTCTTATCTCCACTGTTCTCAATTGCCAAATAGGGTCTTAAATGAAAATCATATCATTTTTCCCAATTCTAGGAACTGTTACATGGCCATGAAGTTCTGCACCATATAAAAAGTGAATTGTATTAACCTAATCCATCTTCTATACCAGTTTTTAACTTCTTCCCCTGCCAATATGAATAAACATGTATATAAAGCATAGACAACTAAATAGACACATCCGAGTAATGTATGAGTGAACACACATTCACTCATAAAATATGCATGTCCTAAGAAGAGTCAGTGATAAAAACATTTTGGAAGCAGAGTAGACAAGTTCAGTAAATTCATACTTGTGGTTGAGACTAAGGGGAAAAAATGAAAACATTCTATATATTAGAACAATTTTTCTTCTTTTTGCATTGATTTGCATGTGATTTAGTAATTAGAGCATTTTAAAACTCAATGAATGGCTTTTGTAATTGCATTTGGCTCAAATATGTATTAACTTTATGTTAATTTTAGGACTAATGTAATGTTTGATTGTTTACCAAAAATCTTATGTTTGCAGTTAGCAATTTAATCTTGCTTTTGTGAATTTTTTAATGTGAAATCACCATTTATCCTTGTAAATGTTTTCTTAGGGTCAATTGCTTTCCATCAAGTAAGGCATTAGGAATGGAAAATGATAGATGAATATGTTTTTAGTTACAGAAATAAGCTATGTAATTAATCTTTATTAATATATAAAGTAAAGTGCCTGGTAATGAAACAATCTATAAAAACATAAATGAAGATTTAACCAATTTGTTTCTATTCCTTTGCATATGATACTATAGAAAGTTCAAGAAGAGACTGTGGTTATTTGAGTAGAATTTGGAAACTGTCCTAGTTTTAAAAGGATTTTGGGAAGAATTCCTAATTTGTAACATGGAGACTTTCCTTCTTCTCAGATACTATAGTGTGAATAAGTTGTGCCTCTTGATTAGGGGGTAATGACAATGCTGTTCAAGCTTATTTCAGTAGGGGGTCAGAAACTTATACGAACCTGGAAATGGACACGGAGAAAGAAAGATACATATTTAAAGAAAGCACTCTTCTTAGAGAAATTTTCTTACAAACATGTATGATTTTGTTATCGATATACAATTTGATGATATCAGAAAAATGTTCTGACTTAGGTCTCTAACTTCTATTTTTGTGTGTGTTTCCTTCAGATAAGAAATGTTGAGACTAATCAATGTTTAGACAACATGGGCCGCAAGGAAAATGAAAAAGTGGGCATATTCAACTGTCATGGTATGGGAGGAAATCAGGTAAACTTTTCTTTATTATCAGCTTCATATCTGAGGGCAATACATCGTTCTGAAAGCTGTCAAGTTAGACCTTGGCTTAAAAGTCAATAATAGGCATTCAAATTAAGAACTAATTAGGCTATTTTATTATCCCAAGTTTACTAAGAAAGCACCACAGAATTTAATTTAAAGGACAACACTTTCAATGAACTTACAGTTAGTGGAGAGTGTCAAATATTTTAGACCCATCTCATTTTATCATGCGTGTGCAAAGAAAGACAAAGGTGTACAAGGTCACCAAGCTCAGGGATTCATAGGTGAAGTGAGCAAAGGAAAAACCTGTAAAAACACCATACATTCTGCCATCTCTTTTATCAACTTCATGGCAAGATAGAAATTAAAACCACTATTTTTCATCTCCATGAATACTTATTCATGTCTACAAATATATGCACAAGAATGTTTACTGGTGTCCTTTTTGTTATAACACAGACAGTGGAAATAGCTAAATATTTACCAAGAGGGGAATATTTAAATAAATCATGATATATTCGTAGCATAGAATACTACATAGCCACCAAAATGACTGCTATGTCTATATGTATTGTCAGCAAAAACTGAAAAGAGGGTAAAAATTCAGAATGTAACTTATGTTGAATGATTTCATTTATGAAAAATGCATTGACATTTTCTCTGTAGTATCTATAATGTATATATTTATATAGATGATTATATAATAGATTATATAATAGCTAGGTATAGTGACTGTATATAGTAGCTATGTATAGTGGCTATGTATATAGAATATATAGTAGCTCTATATAATAGCTATGTATAGTAGTCTATCTGGAATATTGATTACCTCTGGAATATAGATCTTCTCTGATGACTGAACTGGAGGAAGTTCTCTAACATTGAACTGGAGGAAGGAATTTTACTTTTTACCCCACATTTTTTATATATATGCATTACTTTAATAATTAAGCAAAACTGGAGAAAAATAAACTGTTGAGAATAAAAGAACATTTTATACCATTAGTCTGGCCTGGGTAACTTATGGTTGGTCACATATTGTTTTTGAGCTTAAATATTTTATCTGTACAGTAGGTAAAAGATCTTCATCAATCTTTTTTTCTCTAAAGATTACTAAATTTGTAAAACAACTATCACTTAGACTGTCATATACTAGACACTCAGTGCTTACTGGTATATTGCCATTAGTTATTTTATGTACTTATTTTTTCACTTATGTTCTTAATTATTTCTCTTTGTATTTCTATGAGAAAAAAAGTGTTCATTTAGTGAAAAATGCCAGAGGCAAGATAAATGCACAACACTTCCTGTGATATTGTTAAACTTAATAAAATATACTGCCTTTCCTGTTCTAACAAATATATATGAAAATATTAACCCATTGCATAAAACCCTATTATGATTCATACCTTGGTAGGACTCAATATTTCTAGAATGATTAATAGTAGGGACATATTTAAGTTTTAGGCTTACTTGAGAAAATAACAGATTTTAGGACTCTACTCTCAGAGCCACCTTCCCTGTTTTTTATTGCTATTCTTTCATGTTACCATGGAAGCTGCATCTATTTTTATGGTTATTTAGTTTTGAATTCTTAAAAGTAGCCTCAATCGATAAAAATTCAAATTTCTCTCTTCTGCTTTTACACAAAAGTCATAATGAATGTTAATATTGTTTTTTAGTATTTCCACTCAGTTACATTTTTAAAAGAAGTTTCTTTATCTTTGCTAAGAATTATTAGATCTTAACCATTTCTCCTTGCACAGGAGTTTTAGTAGTTTCTTTCTCTTTTCTTTCTTTCTTTCTTTTCTTCCTCCCTCCCTCCCTCCCTCCCTCCCTCCCTCCCTCCCTCCCTCCCTCCCTCCCTCCCTCCCTCCCTTCCTTCCTTCCTTCCTTCCTTCCTTCCTTCCTTCCTTCCTTCCTTCCTTCCTTCCTTCCTTCCTTTTGTTTCTCTTGAGATATCAATAAAAAACTAACTTCTCAGGACTTGCTGGATATACTTTTCTTAAACACTCTTATATCCAGCATATTCTCCTCTTTTCATCCCCACCACTGACATAAGGCTTGGACCTGTGGTAGGTACCAAATAAAAACTAGTCAAGTAAACAAATGAAAGAATGCATGGAAGTTTTTGTGGCCAGAATACAGGAAAGACAAGATAGCAAGGGGAGAATTACTGATAAATCTATATCTTTAAGTTATATTTCTAACATTATCAGTGCACTTAAGTATTTTTATAATTGATATCAATACTTTGTGAATTTTCTAGTCATGCTTTTGCTTATGTTTTCATTGGAGGTTAAGAGGATTCTTTTTTCTCTTATATACTTATAAAAACACTTTATTAAGTAAGACTATTACCTATTGTCATATAGTAGATATTTTTCTGATTTGATATTGTTTATAGTGTGTTTTCATATACAGATTTTGAAACACTTTATGTATTTCAGTCATTGTTTACCTTTATGCTTTCCCTTTTTGATGTAGAGATACAATTCTTTTATCTTTAAAAAAACTTGTTATTGTATTTTTTCTATTATCACTTAGTCCCCTAATACCCCACTGCCCCCACCAATCACCACACTGCTGTCCATGTCCATGAGTCCTTTTTTCTTTTTGCTCAGTCCCTCCACCCCCTCACCCCCTCACCCCGGTCTGTCTTCCTGCTCTCTATGTTTCTGTTTCTATTTTGCTTATTAGTTCAGTTTGTTCATTTGATTCCACACAAAGAATGTAAAAGACCTGTACTAAGAAAATTATGACACTGAAGAAAGAAATTGAGGAAGATACCAATAAGTGGAAGCACATACCATGTTCATGGATAGGAAGAATTAACATCATAAAAATGCCCATACTACCCAAAGCAATCTATAGATTCAACACAATTCCTCTCAAGATTCCAATGACATACTTCACAAACCTAGCACAAATATTTCAAAAAATATTTACTTATTTATTTACTTAGCAATTATAAATAGTATTTTATTTTTATTTTATTTTTTACATTTTTTATTCAAGTATGTTGTTCAAGTACAGTTGTCTCTATTTTCCCCCCACAACTCCTTGCAACCACAGCCACCCCACACTTCCCATACAGAACCACGAAAGGCCCCATATAACAGAGATACTAAGAAAGAACAAAGTTGGAGGAATCCTGCTACCTAATATCAAACTATACTATAAGTCCATAGTAATCAAAACAGCATGGTACTGGCATAAGAACAGAAACATAAATTAATGGAACAAAATAAAGAGTCCAGAAATAAACCCACACCTGTATAGTCAATTAATATTCAACAGAGGAAGCAAGCACACACCGTGGGCTAAAGACAGTTTATTCAATAAATGGTATTGGGAAAAATTGGGCAGATATGTCCAGAATAATGAAACCAGATCCCCTTCTTACACCATACACAAAAATAAATGTAATTCTTTTTTAGCGAGATGCTTTTAAATGACATTTACATAATCTTAAAGGAACCAATATCAAAACTGGTGAATAGATCTTTAAAAGTCCAGCCATTGTTAATATAACCAGAATGGTTTGTGCAACATCAGTGTAGCCTGGCAGCCAAAGAAGGAACTGAAATGCACATGCATGAACAATGACAACTTGACCATACTAATCAGGGGGGGTGGGTAGATGCCTTTGAATGAATATATGTACTTTTTGGACATTGAATTCAAAATGACTGAGCAAGTAGAACAATGAATATGCATCAAATTTTGCATTAAGCTTGAACATTCCTCCGTGGAATCTATTCAGATGATTCAGAAGGCTGCAGCTATGGGCAACTGGTGACTGGCAGCTTCATCAAGACAATGTGCCTGCTCACCCATCATGTCTCATGCAATGTTTTTTGGCAAAACAGCAAATCAGTCAAGTGATTCAGCCCCCTTATAGTCCAGATTTGGTGCCCTACGACTTCCCAAAACTAAAATCACCTTTAAAAGGGAAGGGATTTCAGACTGCCAATGAGATTCAGGAAAATATGACACAGTAGCTAACGGTGATTGGGAGAACTGTGTGAGGTCCCAAGGTGCCTACTTTGAGGGGGACTAAGGCACCATTCTCCTGTGTACATTGTTTTTTGTATATTGTGTCTTCTTCAATAAATGTCTTTATTTTTCTTATTACATGGATGGATACTTTCTGGACAGAACTCATATCAATTTAAGTATTGACATGAATTTCTATTTAAAATTTATGTAAAATATACTTGTGTACAACTTAGATTGATATAGTTTTATAAGATAATCATTTATTTGATATTAAGTATTAGTATAAAACTTTAAAAAAATTAATGTGGAGTCTTTCCTCTTGAATTAAAATACATCTTTAATCCAAAAAGGAGGAAAAGAAACCCCCATATATATTGTATTCATTCCTTCCAAACGTAAAATTATGTATTTGTAAAGGACAATGGAAAAGTACTCACATTTTAATACATTTATAATGTTTCACTTTCTCCCTGGAGCCGCTCATTTGAAGAGAGCTAGAAAGCATATGGAAACATTCCATGTAATTTATTGCAGTAAATGATTCAGAGCCATTTTACAAGGTAGCATTTAGGGAAGCTTATGCTAACCATTTCTTATAGCCCTGTGTCTGCCAAGATAAAGAAGAGATCATCAGGTCTTATCTATATTTTCATACACATGTCTCCTCCTCCTCTAAAATATGACTATTTGTACCTAAGAAGAAACCTAACCTTATGATAGGTGTATTACAAATTTTTGAGAGTATAGATACTTTCCTCATTACATCCTTTCTCCTAGAGAAAGCTAATTATTTTAGTAATGCATACTAAACATTCCCAGATTGTAATGAATACATTCATTCAACATGTATGTATTCATTTTAAGTTTGCATTTTTATAAGTACTGTAATTACTTAGAAACCATTTCTACACTAATTTTGTCCCATTTTAGTAGTCTGCATAATGGAATAAAAACTCTCCAGGGATTTCACAAAGTAAATTTGCAAG